GTGGCCAAGGCAACTGCATGATCACTCGCCCAATCTAAATCAGGAAAACCCAACTCACTGACGTCCAAGAAGAGCTCTGCACAAATGCGAAACAAAGCCATCAGTTTGGGCAGCTTCTCATCTTGAACCGCTGGCAACGATGGCGATGAAGCCTTGGCCACAACAGGTGGCCGCTGCTCACCTACCAGGCGCCAAGGGACCAGAACCCGCCGACGCTTAGGAGATGCAGCCCTGGCAGAAGCAGAGGATGCAGCCGCATGAGACTGGCCATGAACAGACAATCTCTCAACTGAAACCGCAGCAGCAGCCAGCCGCACATCTTTCGAAGCCAGACGAGCTGCTGTACGCCAGAGCCGGGCAACTTCTGAAGCGTCGCCCTCAAGGCCGGCCTGTGTAGCAAAAGCAAGAAACTCAGCACAGAAGACATCCTCGTCACGCCAGCCATAATGGATGTCACTGCAGTGCTCGACGCCCTCGTCAAGGAGCCACTGACTGACCGATGAATGCAACTCGCTCAGCAAAAGCGAAAGCTCGGAATCAAACATGGCACAGTCAAAAACTAGTCTGGTCCTTGCGAGGCATTCGAGAAGCACTGCTGCGGACCATGACATATGCGAAGCTTTCAAGCTCCCTTTAGACCCCGTAGCCAACCGGCCTTTCTAAAAGGGATGCACAGAGTGAATTAGCTTGTTTGTTTGCTCGCTTGTTTGTTTGTTTGCTTGCTTGCTTGTTTGCTTGCTTGCTTGCTTGTGTGTGTGTGTGCGTGCTTGTGTGCATCGTGTGCGTAAATGCTTGTCGGCTTTGAGACGCACCTGAGCATGGTGTCGCCACCTAAGGTCAGCCAGCCCTGTCAGCCCCTTGTCCGCGCGCTCGCTGCATTCATCGCGCTCGCTGCAGCGCAGGCCAGGGAATTCCGCTTGCTGAAGTAACGTCGTATCAGGCCTTTGGACCCCAGACTGTAGACGAGATTGCGCAAGGTAGGAATCATGTGGATCATCGATGGAGCGGATGAAAGTCGAATCAAAATCACTGTCATCTTCGTCGGCTCATCATGCCATCTCTGTCTGTCTGTCTGTCTGTCTGTCTGTCTCTCACCCTCTCTCTCTCTCTCTCTCTCTCTCTCTCTCATCTATCTCTCTCTCTCTCTCTCTCTGTCTCTCTCCCCCGTCTCTCTCTTTGTGTCTGTCCCTCTCTACGAACGAATGGCGAAGAAGCGGCGACGTTTACAAACGCAAGCATGCGGACAGCGCTACATACGTGCAGACCCCGATGGGCTGTGGCAACCTCTGTTCAAGCTTCTGCAGTCATGTGAGCACTGAGTGCCTGCCTGGCTGCCTGGATGACTCGGTCTTCCTGTGACCCCTCCCGGACTGTCTTGGTATTATGCTGGCATAGGCCACCCCCTCGTTTTCAATCTTTCCTTTGTGTCAGCATGCAGCTGAGACACAGCAACGACTTCTGCTCGCACCTCCTTCCACAGAAGGGTGACCACACTGTGAAGTTGGATGGGATCAGAAGAGCAAGTAGAATTTCTTCAGCATCAAAGCGTCGACCCAACGGCCTCGCAGCATACATGGGTGTATTCTGTCTCGGTACTACAATACCATAATGCATTCTGTATGACATCGAATTCCTATGTTACGGCTGCCACTAGCACGGTCTAAAACGCTGCGAAGGCTGCCCAAGCAGCCGGCAGCGGATGGCGCAGAGGTCACGGCCATGTCACCGGTGCCGAGCAACGTCAACGTTTTTGCCGGGGAGCGGCGGTTGTGCGCGTGTACGTAGCCGTAGATTTGGAGTTGTGCACTTGATGGCTCAGGGGTTGGATTTGGGGCAGTTCCTGCAGACAGGAGCTATAGAGCCCAGAAATCGGAATTCGGCTGGGTCCTGCATGCATTGGCGATTCAGCACCGAGCTGCAAAAAATAACAAAGAGTAGAAGACTGTTCTCAAAGTGTGGTCTTTCACGCGGGCAAGGGGCTTGACTGTTCATGGTTTCCTGCCTCCAGGATGCGATTATAGAGGAGGGGAAGTTCAACGAAGCGATCTTGATGTTGGATGCAGAGGCACGCTTCCCGCTATGTGGGTTTCTGTCACATGACGGTTGCAGTACTTGAGGCTCTGAGGTTCCGGTCTCGTTAGCTGAATCTTATTACTATCACTGGTAGTATTCTTGTTATTGTCATGCGTAGCATTGGTATTACTATTGTTGCTATTATTGACAATATCCTGGCTACTAGACTGCCCGGAAGGTTTTTGCTTGACTAGTTTCACGGCCTTTTGGGGCCCATTCCTGGTAGATCCTGGTAGCAGGGTGTCCGTGATGCCAAACCAAGGCGACAACCAGCCGCAACGCCTGGGCTGGCAAGGCCGTTTCAGGCACTTGGTTTGGGGATTATTGGTCCCAAAACTTGCTCTGCCGGGGCTTGACAGCTGGGGGCAATCTGCTGCAGAACACGCGCATGTCATGCCGGGTGGAAGGATTGTCGGTAGTTGCGATTTCCACCGCCAGCACTCTGAGCTTCAAGTCCCCGAGTGCTGCTCCGCGACTGGATAGACCAACGTTGCACCGCTACTGCATGCCAAATTATGAAGTGAAGCCTGATATAGAACACTCCACTGCCCGTGCCTGTCAGTACGGCAGGAGGCTCTGTATAGTAGGACCTCAAGCCTCCGAGGATGTATGCTTTGCCACATACGACAGCCCACACATAGTTGCTCGATGAACCGCCAAATGATCGCGCCTGTCGTTTGCACCCAGCCCGTGGCCACCATTCCTGCAAAGGCCGCCTGCCGAAGAAGATGTCCATAGGCAACATTGAACTGGAAGACGACCTCGGCTTGCTCAACGACACAGACGACCAGGCAGATTGCACAAACAAGTCTGATATCTTGGAATGTTGCACTACCCGTCAGCTTCAGAGGCCACTCAAGCCCGAGTGCATAAATGCTTCTGCTGCTTCCAGGGAGTTGTCGGGCAGTGTGCAGTTCCATGCGTGATTATGCGTGTACTTGCGCGTGAGCGAACGAAACGGTTGCGCCATGTAGCCCCTTCTGCTTGCCCGGCTGCAGCTTTTCGCTCTCCTCGACCAGGGCGATGTTGAGGTCGGTGTGTGCGCGAACGTGCCTGCCAGCCTTCCAGCAAGTCGGGCGCAGGGCAAAAATGCCGAGTGTTCCGTTTCCGGCCGGCGGCCGGCGGCCTTTGGGCTGCGGGGCTGTGGCCGCTGCGCCTTTTGATGTACCGCCTAGGGCCACGGAAGATATCCGACTGGCTTCACACCGCCGCCTCCGACGATAACGGGATGCATTCGTTTCGCAGGGTGCGAACTTAGCGCGCCAAAATTGAAATTAAGCAAGACCATGTGCTTGGTCGTGTATTCCTCCAATGAAGTCCACCCTGTGGGTTATCAGCAACATATGCGAGACGACAAGAACTTCTGCTCTGGAGCAGACAACGCACCTAGCATAAGAGCTCAAAGGCTGAAGCCGGATGCGCAAGGAGTTCGACGACAAACTTGTTCAACATGTGCCTCATTCACCGCAGGAGAGCTTCGCAGTTCCAATATCACGCTGAGAGCCAGAAAGGAGAGAAGTGGAAGAGATCAGGTTCATTCCGAATGAAATACAGGCAGGGAGGCATGAGCCTCCTTAGTGGAAAATGCCCAACAGAAACTTTGATGTTCGATACTGGTTGGTCAAACTTCACGGAGCTTGAGTTGAGATGTTGAGCCCGGCCCTAAGCCGCAGGCCATCAAGCCAGCCACAGCCAGCCTCTCGCTGGCCAAACCTGGCCGTCTGCTGCCGCGCTCGGGCACGCAGGGAGTCGAGGCTGCCGGATCTTGGGTTTCAGGCTGAGTTTCAGATGCGCTTGGTGGTTCAGGAACACGTGTGTGTGTGTGTGTGGGGTGTGTGTCTGTGGGTGGGATGTGTGGTTCGGGCGACCTGTCGACGATTGCTCCTCGAATGCTGTTTGTACCTCAGATTCTCTTTGCTGTGAAAACACCAGCTCCACGAGCAGCACGGCCAGGGCCGCCTTGCAACATCTTGCAACCCCCGCCCAGACCCGCCGCCGCCAGCCACTGCCGCCGCCGCCACGACCACCACCTCTACCAGCACCGCCATTATCACATGGCACCGCCACTGCCAGCACTGGATAGCAGCAGGATGCGGACAAGCACGAGGACAATTTCGACGACAACCCGGATGACCATGACGACCACGACCACCACGACCACCACGACCACCACGACAAAACGACAACGACGACGACATGCGAATCTGGATTGGATCATTCCGTCTTGGCACAAAGAGCTGTCTCAGCACTCGGCGGAGAAGCTATGTCATTTCGTTGCTGGCTGTTGTCAATCCCGGCTTTATGACGGCCTTCACAACGCCGCATGTGTTTCTCTGGTTGTCAGGATTACATCGGTTTGTGCGCCAAATTTATATTACCACCACGACCACCGCCATCTTTCATCACTGTCATCCTGCTCCTCCTCCTCCTCCTCCTCGTCATGGTCATGGCCACCAGTCACTATCATGTTAATCCTCATCCTAATCGTCATCGCCACCATCATCAATTCTTCGTGCCAAGGCATAACCTGGCTTCTGGCAGCATGTCATGTGGGTGAACGTACATGCTTCTCCAATGGACCTCACAAGTTTTAAAGTCAACAAATACCATGATGAACTACTGTGCTGTTGCGTACTGTGCGCTTGATCGCACATGCCCTGGTGGAGGCCGAGGATATGCCGATCCTGTCCGTGGCCCAGCTATCACCGCGCGTCTCTCAAGAGTTGACGCAGGCGGGAGTTCAAGAGCATATACATTCGGGTTGACCCGTACCGGTTTCAGTGGCTTTTATGCCGCAAAATGAGTTGCGGGAGTTTGAGGATTGGAGCTTAAAACTTTTTCGAAGAAGCGACATTGCTCGCACCGCAATCAGGAGCAGCACAGAGGTCAAATCTACTTGGAAATGAGCCCAGCCTTACCCGGCATGCAGGGGATGCTTGCTCAGGCTGATGTTGGCGAGCTGGAGGACGAGCCCAAGTAGCTTTGGACAATAGGGACGGTTGTGGGAGTTGGTGCGCTGTTTTGATCGCTAGTGCTGGCTCTCTGAGTGGTTGCCTGTGAGCAGCAGGAAGGCGGTGGGGTTTTGGCCGTTGTGAGTTGTGAGTGCCAGATATCGATTCACTCCGTGACCGAGGCGGCGTAGGCAGCTGTCGGCAGATGTGCCAGTCCGCACCATCGAAAGGCAGCCTGCAAAGGAGCACCCCGTCACGAAGAGCTGTGCAGAAAGTGTGCTGCATCGGCCTGAGGAAGCGTTGTTTGGCAGGTTGGGACCTCTGCCGTGCCGATCTTGCTGCCTTGTAGAAACGTAGTAGAGCCGTTGCCCGCACACTGTTGCATAGGGTATCCGCCCAACTATCATTTCGGACACAAAAGGGTGCAGATGGACAAGAACCGATCCAACAAGTCTAGCCCCTAAACCCTAAACCCTTCAATCTTAAACCCTAAACCATCCTGAACCCGCTAGCCTTAAACATCCATAAACCCTAGCTACCCCGTATCCGAGCCGACAGGACCCTCGGCTTGGCGAAGGGCTTGTGCTGCTGGATGGGCAGGCTGGGAAAGGGCTGTAGTCAGGCCTAGTGCTTAGATGCTGATCATTGCCCGGCCTGGGATGTAGCGTCTCTTCCCTCTATCTCTCTTTCTCTCTGTCTCTTTGTCTCTCTCTCTCTCTCTCCCCTTCTGTCTCGCTCTGTAGAAAGACATAAAATGACATAAAAGGCTCCCCCCTGAGCTCTCCGCTATGCCACAGGAATCAAGCAGCCGTAACAACACTTGGGCTGGCCAGTCTGCTTCAGGCACATGGGACATCATGGGACAGGGTCTGGCAGACTTGGCCACCAGGTTTCCGGGTGTCAAAGGCCGTGTTTGGGGATCTGCAGTCAAGACCGGATGTTACACAGCCACGTGACCCGATGCAGAAACAAGGTCAAGGAGGCGGTTCCTCGCAAGATTCACTGCAAGCATTTGACGATCAAAATAACCTTCCTACTTCCCCCTATCCACGGTTCAGTTCACCGCTTAGTATATAGAATGCATCCGTCGTGCAAGTAGATGTATGCAGACGCGGTGCCGTTGAAGGGCTACTGAGATCAACAGGATCCCTTACACCTGCGATTGATGCATCGGCGTGACTACGTAGGAGTCAGTGGCACTTTCCAAGGCCTTGATTTCGGATGAAGTCCATTGTTGGCCATTCGTTCAGGAGGCTATTACAGCAAACCACACATTATCCCAAAAACAAGCTTCACGCAGGACCGGCAGGCCCAAGTCAGCGAGGAGGCAGCGAACCAGGCAGGCTCCGTGATATCACAGGTGGAGTGAAGCCCAGGATCTCTGTGTAACAGCACCAGGGATCCTGAGAGAGGGCTGCAAAATAGGTGTAGCCCTGAACTCCTAGAACCTATGATGGACTCCGAAGCCAGGCAACCAGACAAAGCAGCCCTTCATGACCCACTTCGAGCTCAAGAGCGACCTCTTCACGAGTGGGGCTGGCGAGCAGGTTTTCAGAGGGAGGGAGGGAGGCTTTTACTCCAAGGGTTGAAGGGCTCCAGGGTTTAGGATTCTATGGCGTAAGGACTTAGAGACTTCGCGTACGATTGAGATTTGAAAGAGGGCACCCGAAGAGACGAAACATCGGATCGTCCCTGCTTGCAAAAATGCTGTGGGAAGGAGCTCCGTCCATGCATACGCCTGGGACCAACAAACCTAAAGCCACCAACATCCTTGTTTGCAAAGGACTGTTTGTTGTCTGCACTACGACGAGACCTCGAACCCGAAGTAAACTGATTTCCACAGGCCGACCGGATGCCACACCGCCCCGCGCTCAAGCCACGTCGGGGCAAGCCCCACTCGAGCGCACAGGGCTCCGGCAAGGCACGGCCAGATATAAAATTGAGTGTCAGATGGCGTAGGACGACGTAAGCGCGGTGCTTCCCGCAGCAAATAGGCAACAGGCCTGTCGTCTTCTGCCTCTGATGGGAGCCTTAGCTAGTTACGTGGGTGTGCTCAGTGTGCTCTGCTACCCTAAGCATGAGCAGCACCCCAACCCATCAGTCGTAGACTCGCGCTCCGCGCAAGGAAAGATCCACCCTGATGATTTCAATTTCACAGTCCGGCGCAAGAACCAACGGCAGCAGTCGTAGTCATAGTAGCAGCAGTGGCGGTTGCAGGGTGGAAAGGGGGCTCGTCGGCCAGAGGAAGGCTCGAGGTGCGGGAAGCTTTTCCGTGTATGTCAGGTGTGTTGATATCTGTTTGTCTCTGTTTGTGTCGCCAGGCCCGGCAAAGCCGCCGTGGGAGCGCCCGAGGTGGACTCAGCAGTCGTGGCCGCCGTACTTGCGGAAGCAGAGGCCGATGAAGAAGGTCCTGAGGAGGCTGCCAGCGGTGTTCTTGAGTAGAGCATCTTTGCATGTTACTCCCTTCTTACGATCTTCGTGTGAGGCTGAGGAGCCAGAAGTCCGGGAAGAGATCCTGGAGGCAGAAACCAAGCCGAGCGATGGCGAGAAGGTGAAGGTCGAGGTAAACGAGGAGGCAGATCCGAAGGACAACTTCTCCCTGGCCCGAAATACCTCCAAGACGGCCGTGAACAAGCGGTACGTCGTTGCATCCGCGGGCAAGAAGGCTCTGTTTCAAAGTGCCTTGGTTGCAACCCGTTGAAATCGCAGTCGCCCCATAAGTACCTATCCACAGCCTTTTGTCCAAACCGCACAGACTACTGGATCAGGCAGATCTTTTCGGATGCAAGATGGCGACGTTCCGCTTCCACAGCTTCCAACTTCGGGAGCCCGGGTCGGCTGCGAAAGATTGCGGAAGTGTGAGCAACACAAGTAACCAGCCCGAGCCTCGAGAGAGCCTTGGAGGATGCTTGAGATCTGCCAGCTGCTAGGAAAGTCGCGGTGTGAGAACTGCAGTCTTGGCTTGGGTGCTGAAGATGGCAGAGCATACATTCCTAAACCCTGAATCCTAAACCCCAAACCACGACTGTAGCAGCGGCAGAGCGGCAACCAACTAGCTCGAACCGCTTCAGGTTGAGACCAACCCTCGAAGTAAGAAGATGGAGTTCTTCGACATACGGGGCGAAATGGGGCGAACTAGCAACAGTTGCAACAAGTTCAGTGAGAGTGGAAGCAAATCGTAGTCGTCCATGAGCATCATCTTAGTGCTGAAACCGGCATTCTGAACGGTCGCGGCGCTACGCACCATGATAAGCCACTCGCTTCTTCAGCATATGTAGGTTCAGCGACCGCCCAATTCGGATGATAAGAGCGAGGTGCTCAAGCTCAAATGCTACGGGAGCTCTGACTTTTCGGCACATGGAAACTTCTAGGTGTGGGGTCTTAGGGGCATGACAGAACAACCCACAGGAGCCTCGGAGTTGCCGGATCCTGGTGAGTCCGGCGAAGCTCCTGTCCTGATCGAGTCGACGGAGTCGACTTCTCAGTCTCAGCCTGAGACGCTCGGCGTGCTTAGCTTGTACAGCAAGGGGACCTAGACCTGTACTTGCTTGAAGGCTTTTTTGGACTTGGTAGGTCTACGGAGTATAGCCTACGGTTGCCTTTAATAAGTTTAATCCATATACTAGAACACTCCCAAAGCCCATCCTGGCCACCCTGCCTGCCGACTCAAAAGATCGTCAGCGTAAGGTTCCAAGGCCCCTGGACAGTCCCAGGACTCGGTGAACGGTTGATGTTTTGTTCGGGTACGCAGGGGTGTGTGCGCCATTTGAGTCGTTCAGGGCCTTTTGTTCTTAAGGCTTGATGCTTCGGGGGTTGTAGGAGTTTTTGTTAGCAAAGATCCTAGCAGTCTGCTGGTTTGTCCAAGGTTAGTCTATCAAGGCCTCTGTACGCCCAAGAGCCTCTCAGCGGTAGGCGCACCCCTCCAAGGCCGGCGAAAAAGAGGTGGAAATTGGGTCCCTTGTTTGCAAAAGTCTCCATGTGTGTGTGTGTGAGTGTGAGATTGAAAAGTCACAAAGACATCCCCGAACCCTCTGATTCCGAGATTTCTGCCAGCACAAAGTCTCTGGCCTCACCTGCTTTCAGTCTCGAGCATTTTTGGAGTGCCAGTGTGACAGTGGTTTCGAGCTTCGGGGGCACCGTGAGAGGGGCTGACTGCGTCATATTCGTTGCTCGTCGACTGAGCCGTGAAAGGCCCTGAACTGGAATGCAGCCAAGCCAGGTATATCTTCATGAACATGTCGTCGTGAGTGGCTTACGATACGTAACTACATATTATACTGGAATCCTGGAAGGCGATCGCACGAGGCAGGATACCACTAACCGTTCACTAACCAGACGAGGGCCCCACAGCGCAGCAGCACTGTCTACAAATCCGGATCGAAGCTTGCTTGCTCAGTGGCATCCTATCCCATACCATGGCAGGGGAACATGCCTTTGTTCCACAGTGGCAGAGATGAAAACTGCTACTGCGCTTACGTATTTACACTGTAGGGTCTCGAAGGCCAGGTTTCCAAGAACAGTGCGACTCACCCAATGCTATGCTTTGCGATGCGGGAACGTCCTACTGTAAACTGTATAGTATTTACTATATTCTATACTATACTCTATACTATACCCTGTTCAGAGACCCCGGCGAAGGTACCCTGGCTGTCCAGGCCGTGCTGCGACTTCGGTCGGAGGCCCGCTCCCCGCCACCTCAGCGTCGCGAGAGCGGCCTGGCCCGAGCTCGGTAACAGCCATAGGGTCTAGGGTCTAGGGGTGCTGTAGACGAGAATCATCGTAGTGATGATGATGTTGATGATGATGATGATGATGACGGAGCTGGTGATGAGGATGATGACGAAGCTGGTGATGAGGATGAACATGAAGATGATGAACAATAACCAATAAATAAGAAGATGAAGTTGAGGCATATGAAGTTTACAAACTACTCTCAACATGACCGACATCGCCATCGTGGTCAGGGCAATATGGACAACATGGTGTGATGCTGGTGATGATAGCAACCTCAGCAGCAGCAGGAGGAGCCGTGGCAAGAGGATCATCAGGAGTAGTAGCAGGAGGAGCATCCACTAGCTGCAGGAGGAGCATCAGGAGTAGCAGCAGAAGTTGAAGTATCCGTAGCAGTAGCCGTACCGGTAGCGGTAAGGGTGCAGTTGCAGCAGGTTTAGGAGTGCGAGTAGCAGAGTAGTAGGATTTGGAATAGGAGTAGTAGGAGTAGGAGTGGTGGCGATGGTGGTGGTGGTGAAACGTGGTCAGTGTGGAGCAGTAGGCGTGTGAGTTTCCACTATTGATGTTTTTTCTCTTGCTTGACTGTTCTTTGGCAAAAGACATGATTACAGATTGAATCTCCGAGGCCAGTCGAACGTCCGAAAGACACAGATAGTCAGGGAGCTGGAGCCGCCGCCTCCGGCACCTGAAAGCGACTTGGCGGGACAGCACTATATAATATATAATATAATGTAATATAATATAGTATAGTATAATATAGTACAATATAATATAATATAATACCTTTTTCCCCACTCGCCATTGCTCGCTGTAGAGTCGAGCGGGCCAGGCCCGTTTGAAAGCAGTGCCAGCCGCAGACATGGGTATGACTGCCCATGCGCACCAGTTTCTGTCTGCCGCCTGGCTGCGCAGGCATCACCGCTCCGACAGCGCCAGCGAGGAAACCCAGACCCAAAGTGGAGAAAGTGGACAAAGCCAGCAATGAGACAGTGTCGAAGACGGAAGAAGACAACTCCATCCAGACGCTCCATGAGGCCGGCACGCCCGGCAGGGGGTATGGCTATTGTGTCGACACAAGAATTTCTTGTGGATGCCAGCCCACTGTGACTGTGGCAGTATGTTCATCGAGGGTTCAGAAATCCGACATGAAAGGGAAGGGGTCTTTCCAAGATCCACTGAGGATTCGGACTCGACTAGCTAACTTCGATCCCATGGCTACGTTGAGAAAGGCACCAGCGGCCCCTGAGAACGGTGTCGATGACGGCGATGACGGCATCAGCAGCGAGGCGAAGGCACTGCAGGAGGTCCCGCAAGTTCTTCTCCGAGCAGCTAAGCTGCAATTTTGCGAAACTTGTGCAAGGGCGGATGGGTATATCCAGCACTGGACTTGTTTGCCAGCCGCTTACGATCGCAATCGCAAGGGTTCATTGTCCACGTTATCCAAGTATGTGCTTGAGTCGCGGCTCCAGGTCTCAGCCATTCATTAAAGCCTCCCCTTTTCGGCATCGAATTTAGGCCTGAAAGCAAAAAGCTTTGAAGAGCATCCCCGGAGAGCCCCCGAACCTCCAAGAAAATCGCCGCCGCCCCGCTGGACAACGGGACAAGCCTGGCCTTGACCGCCGCTGCGATCCAGGTCGCACAGGGCGACATGGGAAACCGCAGTTCGCATACATGGAATATTGTTGAGCCAGTAGGGGAGGTCTGACAGGTTGGACTGTTTTGAGTGTCTGCAGTGGTGTGATATGATTAGATGACATGAGATGAAGCCATCAGGGCATGTTCAGCAGAATTAGGTCTCTGGTTCGTTTGTCAGTTCAGCACCAGTGGTGACGTCTCGGAAGCCATGCTGAAATCATCTCTGCAGGCAATGCGATCATTGGACGAGCCGGACTTGTCTCATTTCCGAAGCTGAGCACACATGGCCTTGCCTCGTTCCAGCCGATTGTCGCTCTTGAGAGTCGGCACATACTGTCCAGGAATCTGTCAGCGTTGTGCCGAGGAAAGTCAGAGGCCAGGCTGCTGTCGGCTCGCACGCAGACAACCGGCTTCCTGTCCCACGACAGCTCTCGCATCACTTTCTTCTCGGCAAAAACCGACTCGGCCAACTCTACAGCCTCGGGGCCGCAACCAGAACTGTTATAATCACAGCCAGGTGTCAGTCACGACTGATGCAATGTTTCTAGGCCGGCTTCTCGCCGTATACCTCGCAGACGGATCTCCTCAAGAATGCATCTGGCACTACGCTTTCGTACCAAAGCTCTGCAGCCAAGCTCTCCATAGCATCGATTGAAGAGGAGGCAGGCTCGAACGCGTCTGCCCAGGCCGGGACAGGAGTCAAGAAGCCGCCTCCCCGAAGCGATCAAAGCCCAAGCCAGATCTCAACTTGTCCTAGAGTCGTGAAGTTACAAACTCAAAAAGTTATTCCGCTGGAACGGCTCCGACTTCAAGTTGCCAGAGGGCAGCCGCCCACGTCCAAGACCCTTCCAGGCCAAGGTGGCAGCCGGCGAGGCTGATCGCCAGTGGCCAACAGCGGGAGCACTTGAGGAGGAGCTCATTGGCGGAGCCGGCCCGTATTACACAGGAAGGCGAGCTGCGGGGTTGTTTTGTTATGTTTTGTTGTGCGGAGGGCGGCCACACTATGCCGCAATTGAAGGGGCTCACTCATGCCACCAAGGCTTGTCTTGCGTTAGTCGAAGACTCGAGCGGAGAGCACGAGGAATCCGAGTCATGATAGTGGCCCCTAGGTTCTGGAACGCCGAAAAATAGATTTTTTGGTGGGTCCAATGCTCGAAGTTGCCGCCAGGAGACATCGTGGCAAGCCCGAGCCCCGAGCCCGACGATGAGGCAGAATGTCAGGATACTTTCGAGAGCCTTGAAGCCTGAGGTTGAGGGTGTAGGCTCTTACAAGGACAGCTCCGGTTCATCGAGAGAAAGCATCAAGTCGGGCAGGATGCAGAAGCGATGACCGGCTTCGGCTATGTTCTAGAGATGCGCAAGCCCCCGCCGGCAATTTCCTCGTCCCGGCGCGGCAGCATCAAGGCGTCTTGAAGGGTCTTGAGTCTTCAGTTGACGGATCTGTAAGATAGTCCATGGCAAGAGTGCCAATCACAGTTATAGGCCTTTATTTCGGTATTCAGTCGCATAGCGGCATGTCGTATATCAGGAAATCGGGGCACGCCCAGTAGGTCTGACGGGGTCCTAGCTCCTGGAAGCTGGCAATGAGGGGCTCCTTTCCTCAGGTCTTCGACGGGAAAGTCGAAGCAGAAGGCCTCGGCCAGCCCACAGCGAGCCTGGTCTTGTCAAACTTGGCCAAGCCCTCGCCGCGGCCCTCGCCGCGGCAGCCTGCATCCTGCTGCATTTATGGTCAAGTTTAAGGGCATTTGTGGTCGCATGCATCCTTCACAGCACCCAGTTGGGTTCGCGATTGTCGCTGTTTTGCTTGCTTTGGCCCGGTGCACCCGAATGAACCCAACCCTGATCTATCGCGGGAAGGCATCAGCGCGGGAAGCGAGAGGGCCGTCAGGCCAGGCGCTGCCAGGTCTCGCGAGCGCCATGCCTCAGACCTGTCAGACCCCCCTAGCGGTTGCGTGTTCGATGGAGGTGCCACGAGGAGACGACCAGTTTACAGCTGAAAGAAAGGCCTCTTGGCTCCGGGCAGCCTCCGACAGCTGTGCCTGAGATTTCACTGAGATTCACGGACAGCGTGTAAGGCCATGCGTTTCTTCGAGCTCATCACTGAGCGCGCGCGCGCTGGCTGTTTGAAGACTGAAGGGCACCCCACTATGCAGTTCAAGCGGGTTCAACCGGGCTCGTGTGGAGCTCGAAGCAGGGTCTCGTTCACGCGAGCTTCGTCTTGCCACACTGCTGAGTCTGCACGACTCGCCTCCTCTGGCACCCCCCACGCATGTTTTGGCAGAAGTCGGCTCGGGAGTCACCTGAAAGAAATCGGTTGGGGGCAGGGGAGGGACAGAGTGCGCAGCTCAACGCTTGTACACAGATCGGCGTGTCCGGAGCATGGACAAGCTTGCCTTGCTACTAAGTCGATGACATACAACAGCGAAATGTGTATAATCCTGACACACTAGAACTAGCTAGATGAATCAGCAGCTGCCGCGAAAGCGCCTGCAGCACAACCTGGTTAACGACAGATCAGGGAGCGGCCACCGGTCCAAAGGACATGGCCCTTCAGATGATCAAAATGAGGGTCTTCTCAGCATAGCCATTGAAGGATTTCTCAAAGAGGACCCTCATTTTGAAACCCCACAAAGCGTCTTTGGGCTCTTTTCCTTCAGGTGGGCATAAAGCCATGCTTGCCGTGAGTCCAGGCGTGGGCAAGGTAGCCGTGCATCTGCGGGCAGGTCTTGTAGGAAAACCGGGGAAGACATGTCTGCATCCCTGTATGCATGAGGGGCTGATCGTTGGAGCACGCGGGTCAGATGGAAGGACTCCAAGGTAGCAAAAGTACGCTTTACTGTGATACGACGATAGAAGAGTAGAGCGACGTTGATGTTCACAGTTGACATGCCAGTTTGAGCATGCAAAGTATGCCACACTAAAACGTGTGAACCAACAGTGGCCACTTGAGCTCAAAGCAAAAAGCCAGCTGCGTAGTCTAAGTACACTGAGCTCCAAAAGGGTTAATTAATGTTAACTGTTTTCTTTGTTAGCCTGGGAATTAGAAAGGCGCTCCTTGAAAGACTTCCTGTCTAGCTATGAAGACCTCTAGTGTAGTGGTTCTACTTGGGGTTGCTAGCAGAGTCCTCGTGGCTCTACAAGTTCAGGACCTCTGAACGTCCAATTCCAGCGGTCTGGTTCCTGCGATCCGCGTTGTTTTCTCGCGCCTTCAACGTGTTGGCTCAAGAGCTTTCAAGCGTCAGATACTGCTTCTTCACGGACCTTAAAGTACTTGGAAGCAGTTCGACGTGGAATCCTATGTTGTGATATACTAGACTAGACTACACTGCAACTACATGTTGCACACACTCTGAGCCGAGAAGTGTTGCGAAGCAACAACCACGACCACCACGACAGAAGGTCATCCGCGATCTCAGAAGCAACTTGCGCGTTTTGACAGGTTCACTCTTTTCCAGCGTTTGGGGTCGACTCGCGACATCCGACACCCTTAAACCCGAACCGGAGAAGGTTCTCAGCGAACTGGGCAAGTGAGACAACAGCGACCCTACGTCCGAGAATTTCGACCCAAAGCCGAACATAGCACTTTACAACCCGAGGCAGAAAGAAAGACTTACACCCTTCATCCTAAGGCAAGCCTTTTTGGAGCACCGGGCATGGCACTGACCCTGGCCGTGCTAGCAGCTCTTAAGCTGTGAGGACCAAACAGGTTACAGCACAGACGTTGCAGTAAAGTCAGTAAAGTCAGCCTATGGCAGGCTGCTGGCCTTATCGTCGGGCCATGAGCCAAATAGTGTCATGTTCCTCGGTCAACTTAACTGCTGTACCCTCGGCACCACAATGACGACAAAAGATTTGCGTCCCGCCAGTTCCTGCATACTAAACACGGACGGAGACCCCATGCATTGCAGCGTAGCGAACAAATCATACTCCAGCAGGATTGCTCCACATGATGGAACAGGGAGCAGCCTAAACGTGAAATCAAAGAAACTTGTGGGTCGGCGGGCGATGTCTCGTTGGGCTGGTGACCACCTTCACAGGCTTCGTGGGTTTTCGATTGCTTGTCATCGCAATCTTGTTTATCAAGGCGTGTGAGTGGTTTGCCGAGCGTGCTTCAGGGACATGTCCGCCCAGTACATGGAATTCATCCCAAATTGCACACATAGGCGCCAAATGGTCTGTCAAAACGCTCCCACTGTCTAAACATCCTGGCAACGCCGTGTGAGATTCAGCCTCTCAGCCCTTTTATTTGCTATCGCCGCTACACGAGGTTTTCGAAGGTTGGCGGTGGTGATCTTGAATCCCTCGAAGCAAAAACCTCAGCAGGTACGCCTTTCCTTTTGGAAATGCGACCGTCAAGATCTTGTTTCCTGCTGCTTTCGTTTGCACCGCCTACTAGCATCGCGCTCGTTGTCCGAATTGATGGGCAGATGAGGAGTCAAGCGAAACTGTGGCGTACACGCCTCCAAATCCAACGCTCGTGGCCGAAGCATATAAACTTATATAAACTTTGACCGGATTCCACAGCATCGGGCCAGAACCCACGTTTCCGGTGCCAGCCCTGCCCACCCCGGCCAGATCCCATCCTCACCCGGGAGGCGAGTGAAGCTAGTAAACCATTCTCGTCTTTCAGAGTTACTCCTGCGCTCAGTCATGGAGCTGTGGATTGCTACTCCTGGTCTGGCGCAGGCTTTAGGTTCAAGGCTGTAGATGCCGGCCTAAAGCATGCCAGCCCAACTGAACGATTCATGACCGCGGGCATCAGCGGACGGTGGTCACGGAAGCTTTGAAACAGGCGGCCTGGTTGCAGAATGCAGGTCGGTTGTGTTCGGTGCATCCTCGTGGCTTCAATCTTTGCAGGTGCGGCGCAATCTGGAGCAATGCTCGTAGCACCTGCAACTTGTCCGAGTTCATCTTCTTGAAAGATAAGGCCTTGTGGGAGTCGGACGTGTGTCTTGTCTTTGCAAAATGCCATAAGGAACTTATGATGCACGTCGGTCCGCCGCCCCAGGAGGTGCTTGTCCAGTGCTTAGTGACTGCGCGGCGGAGCGGTGGCCGATCATTGTACTCCATGGCTTTCGAATGGTTGTTGATGTCGCCAATGTCCCGAATCTTGAAGCGACTCCACCGGACCAAGGATCAAGTGTGGCTGTGGAAACTCCTCATGGCCGGCTTTACACTGGTCTTCATCTTGCAGGTCGTCGCATTGGATGTCGTCCGGGCCCCAGCGTTGGCTGGGGCCATCACGGCGGCGTCTGTGGCATTTAATGCTTTTTGTGTGCGTTGTGTCATGTTTTTGGTTCTTGTTGATGGTGGTGCTGGTTTGTTTCTTCTCATTGCCGGAAGTCTCAGACTTCAGCGCACGTTTTTGCAAAGGATCGCCGGCATGTGCCACTTTGGCACCGTCAGCTCTTCCATTGATGTGTACTAGGCTTCGAAGCACTGTGCTGCAGGCTGGCGCTCTTCTGACAGGTCTACTGCTTGGCTTCGGTTCTGAGCCGAGTTTCCGCAGCTAGAAGATTGACGACAGTATTCACTTATCGTCATCGAGGGACAGGAATCACTCTTGACGCATACGACAAACCATGAGGACTCTAGTCGTATTGTTCATGACAGAGAGAATCATGACAAGCGTGAAAGTGACAGCAGTCGTAACAAGAATGGCGATGACAACCTAGAGCAGCAGCAGCAGCAGCAGCAGCAGCAGCAGCAGTAAACAGCATGATTGCCATTTTAAAATCGTCGTTGTCGTCGTCATATGTCGTCATCGTTTTCGGTGGATCGTCGTCGTCGTCGTCGTCGTCGTCGTCGTGTTCTGGTCGTCGTCGTCGTCTTTGTTGCCGCCGCAGCTGGGCGACTAATGGGAATAGGAGTATAGGAGAGGAGCACGGAGTGGCAGGAGCAGGAGTCGTCGTGGTAGCAATAGTGTTGCAACAGCTGCAATGGCACAGCAAGAAAGGCAGGAATAGAAGAAAGCAGCAGCAGCATCAACAACAGGAGAAGCCGAAATAACAGCAGGATGCAGTAGTAGCCGGCAACAACAACTACAACACAACGACACTATCACGTAACTACCGCAGTGACCGTATTGATAGAATCAAGAAAATCGGGAAATTTGATTGCGGCTGCTGCTTTTACCTGCGTTCGCTGAGGCTGGATCATGCTCAGAGATGGCATGACAGAGATGGCCAAGTACGCCCTGATTTACGCGGCACTCTGGCAGCGCTAGCAGCGAGAAAGAACTATTTTTCGACTACCGGCCTGTCACCCTGTCATTTTCTCTGACTGTTTCGGAGGTGCTCTGTGGCCTGAACTTCTTTTTCGAAGTGTTGCCGTTGATCAGCGAGATCAGTGGCAGGGTGACAAGGAGCCAAGCACAAGCCGCCTTGTGAGCTTGAGCCTTCCTTTCCTCCTGAGCATCCTCACCGTTTCATGTAAGGAGGGCAGAGTTAGCAACTCCGACGATAGAGGTTCGAGTCTCAGATTCGATCTAACAGACTGTCCAAAGCCTTGGAGGACTGGGTGTGACATGTGGGATTCTCCGGACCGTTTGCCAAGGTGAATGGAACCCGAGTGCTTCCACCTCAGAAAGGGGCGGGAAGCAGAGCCGTGTTTGCAAGCCGAAAGCTGAGCAGGGCGGCTCGCAGATAGCCGTATAGAGTGTATGTAGAGCTTTTGTGACTGCGGCATGAAGACGCAGGAAGCGCGCTTCGCTATCACCCCACACGCTGCCAAGGACAACCTACACTCTTGCAACGCAGACGCACCCGTTTTTCGATCCCCCCCTCGGTCTTGCGTACAATGCGCCGTCCTCGGGAGTGGGCGTTCTTCTGTTGTCACATGCCTGCAGTACTGCTGCAGTACCAGGAAGTTTCTTCATGTTAGTGAGCTTGCTTTACTTGTTCCAGCACCTGCAGCGTGACAGGCTCACAGTAGCTCCAGGTGTTGGCAGCTACAGCCATGGATGTTTGACTTCGATGCCCTTGAAGAGGCTCAGGCGAGTTCTCGGGCTCCGCAGGCCAAAGTTGCTGCAAAAGGAGCCCCAAACGTTCCGACAAAGGCCGGGCTGGATAATCTGGATAGAGACATATAATTCATGTAAAGACTTAGGTAGGTGTATCCGAATCCCGAACCTCAGTCCCTGCAGCAAATCGGCTAAACTCTCACCAGGATCTGACCTCAGAGACCCCGCAACGAAGGTTGCTGCAAAAGGCAGCGCAGCAGTTGGCCGAGATGCGCCGAGAGCATCGCTGCAAGCGACGGCCAAAATGCTCAGCGAAGGTGGGGTTTAAACAAGGGTTTCATCAGACGACGTCGAGCGTTGCGATTTACAAAAACCGGACATGCTGCATGTGTTTGCGAGATCCATCCATCGACGCAGACTTGCTTGCCTGCTTAGCCCTTGTGCAGGAGTCAAGAAAGCAGCTGCGAAAAGCTCGAGCCAGGCGCCTGCGCCCGTTCCCAGGCTAACCCACGACGAGAGGCCGGAGACTCAGCTTGTAAGGAATCCCAAGGGCTCATCGCTACAGGAGGCCAGAAGTCCCGTGCACACGCATGCGCTTCGTACGGGTCTGATTCCACATTCTACACCCCCTGAGCTGTAAGTCGCCAAACCGAAACCCTGGAGCCACAGTTTAGGGTTTAGGGTCCTAAACCCTAAGCCCTAAACCACGGTTTAGGGTCCTAAGGCTTAGGTTTCCAATGCTGAGCCCAACCTCTGGAGACAAAGGCGGCGGCGCTGGGCCCTGACGGGCTCGGCCGTGGCTCAAATGCTGCATGCGACTGGGCCGGGTAAGGTTTAGGGGTTTAGGGGTTTAGGGTTTAGGGTTTAGGGGTTTAGGGGTTTAGGGTTTAGGGGTTTAGGGTTTAGGGTTTAGTGTTTGGGGTTGTTGCGGCAAGGCTTTTGGAAGAAAAAGGGGTGAAGAATGTATAGGATATTATCGGAGATTATAGGATTGACAGGAGCAGTCCTAAACGTTGAACCGAACTCCCTGAACCCTAAAGCCTCAAACCTTCGGGCTCGACTTAGGCTTTTTTTTGTGCTGTGAGTAGAGCGAAGCCCAACTTGATACTTCCAGGAGATGCTTGAGTTCGAATTCGTTTGCGGGAAAGGATGGATGGAGGGAATGTGCCGGGCCAAGCTCAGGGCTTGGATTTAGTATTAGCGCACCTGAGCACCAAAGAGCTCTGGGAAGATGTCGGCTTGGCGCGATGTCTCGCAGTCACCCCGTGCGCAAGGCAGTGTTTGGTGGAAAACACGCCCCGGGACCACATCGGACGCCGCTATGGCCTTGATGACTTTGCAGGCAGAGAAGACTCCAGCCAGTCAGAGGGATGTGTTTCTCTGCTTCATGCTGGTGTACACAATTTACACGCTCCGCAGTGTGTGTCAGCATCTGGAGAGGACCCTTGCTGCGGGACCACTTCATCCAGTGGACTTCTAGCCACTCGAGGGCCGAGAACTTCCGGAAGGTGATCTTGCGCCTGGAGATGAAGGTGGTGGTTGCAACGAAGCACCTGGAAATCTGGCCCACATAGTCAACACGGGGTTGGTGCTTCAGGGGTCTTAAGAAATTTGGGATGGCTTCAGCTGGGCACGCCCAGAACTGCCGTGGCCGCACTGCAGCCTGTTCGGGCCAGTCTTGTTTACCCGAAGCTAACATGTCAATGTAGAGATCAGCTTCATTCAACAGTGCTGTGTACGATGTGCGACGGCAGATCCACAAGCGCAATTGCTGCCGAGGACCTCACGTACGACTGGACATTGAGGCAGGGTGTCAGGGTGCTTAGATTCTATAGTTCATTTCCGAGTATCGCAGCGCACCTGATATCATGCACGCCCGCACATGTGTATGGATGTCTTTGTGTACATGTCTCTATATATCTCTATCTATCTATATATATATACAGATGAATTTAGGTATATGTGTGTGTAGGTATGTCATATGTATGTGACCCCCTCCCGGCGGACCCCCATGGTATCCCCCCCTACCCCCCCATCATGCTTCCCCCGCCATGGCTGTGGTGCGTGTCAGCCCGCTCAGAGCTCCGCCGCGGCAGCTCAGAGCTCCGCCGCGGCACCATTGTGGGGCTCTGGGTGGCCTCATGCTGTCCCAATCCCGGGCCCCCCGCTGTGGTGTGGTCGTGGGTTTTGGCTTGTTTAACTCCCCTCGTCCCCATGTGGTGTGGCGGTGGGTCTTGGGTTATTAAACCCCCTCTCCCCCCGTGTGGTGAGGTGTGGTGTGGTGGTGGGTTGTGGGTTTCAGGTGTAGTGTCTAACCTTCCCTCTTTTCTGTGGTGAGGTGGTGGGTGTTGGATTTAGGGTTTAGGGTTTGCACCTGCACCCCCCTGTGGTGTGGGTGATGGGGTTGTTTAGGGTTTATGGGTGTATGAGGGTAAGCAGCTGCGTGCCCGAAACCATCGCCCATCCAGGTGTCTTCACTTTGGGACACGCCACGAAGTTGCATAGCTTCAAACGTCACAACACTCACGACGATCCCGGGTTCGGGGGGGCCCATCCCTGTGACTGTTGGCAGTTTTGAGACAAAAGTGACGACCCTCACGAGGATTTCGGGCGTATACCATGGGGGGGATACCATGCGGGGAGGGTGTACCGACACGCGACACGGCACCCATAAATAGCATCGGGTTTTGGTGTTATGGTAGTATGACTACTTGAAGGAACCCGCGGGAATTGCACTAATTATCATATAACCCCCTAAACCCTAAACCCTACGTGTTATAGGCCCCCTATTGTACCTGAACCTTTCCCTCCCGAATCCCCCCATGCCCAGAAAGCCCAGATTTCAGGGTTTAAATAGGGGTTTCTAGAGTTTAGGGTTTAGGGCGCTAGCATGTGCTGGATGCTGTGGCTCGCCTCCTTGGTGTTCTTTGGGTATGATCGGTTAGGCAGTATAGTGCGTTATCATGTCACCGGTAGGTTTTATGGCTACCAACAAGCGTATTTTGCATGGCCGGGTGCTTGGGAGTAACCTGAAAATGCGCCAGTCGTCCAGAAGGGTATGTATGTCTGATGGTTTACGCAAAGGCTGGTGGACGCACCTACATAATATCACAATGGTCTAGGCCTCTATGCGTGCAAAGCCCAGCCCTACTCCAGAAAGGCCAATGTTCGTAGGGCTCCTAGAAGTACGGGATTGCGGATTGCCGAATCCGACACTTAACCCCCAGCCTCATATGGCATGTATTATGGCCTTTCAGAGGCATTATGTAAGGGTTTGGGACAGCAAACCAGCAACAACACTCTGCATTGTGCCCACAAAAAGCTTCGTGATTGACTTGGAAACTTCTGGCTTAAATATAAGATGGGCAGTTCTCTAAATTAGGGGTCCTTTTTTGGGTGTCCCCAAAATAGTATGTCTGCCTCATAAACAACAGCACCTTGGAAGGGACCCTAATTTAGTGTGTGCTGGATGAGCACATAGACATTTATGGGAATTTTGCGAAAGGGTTTTAAAAGACACTAGTCTACGTGTCATACGTGTCTTGTTGGATCAGCGGACAAGTGCTGTATGAGCCCACGCAGCGCCCTTGGCTTGGCCTAGGGATAGAGAAGCCAAAGGTGTAATACCACTCATTATGCGACTGCTGTTGGAATGCGTAAATGCAAAAAAGGACCCACAAAACACTGTTTTTTCGACGTCGGAGGCGCACCCTCACTCATGCCATGTGTTGTCGCTATACCGCTCAAAGACACAATGTGCGCATCTGTTCTCAACCTTGGTATGAGAACATTGAGAACATGCTTGCAAAAGTAGCATAGTGGACCGACAGCCTTGTACAAAACTTGAACTTTCACCGGCAGCGTTGTCAAATTGAAAGTTCGGAATGCAGATGGGTCCTGCTTGCTGTTTTTCAATGGACATGAGGCTGTAAACCGTCAATCCTGCATTGTGGTCAGCTGCCAATATATAGGAGCCGCAAGCAGACGGAACATCTACATCTACATCTACATCTACATCTACATATAAATTTAATGTGGCCCCAACAGGGAAGCAGTTTAGGTTTCGGCACAGCGAACAGACATGCAGGTGGAGTGTGTCTGCGCAGGAAAAAACCAGCCTACCAGCTTCAGCAGATTGCACAGTGAGCTTTGGAAGTAGGAAAGGGCACGAACAAAAGACTTTGAAACCGGAGACCACTCTAAACCCAAGACTCTAAGCTGCATGCCCAAAAGCCGGACCCTTCAGCCTTACAATCGTTTCCTACTTAACCAACGAGAACCCAAACCAAAACCTAAATACTAAACCCCTCCGCGCTGTTTATGCAGTTTATGCCAGCCCCTGACTGGACGCAGCAGCCAAGAATTACAAGTTGGGGCGTTTGGATTTACGGTTTGTACAATAGGGACTGCGTTTTCGTTGCACTAGCATAACCTACAGTACTTACTTGTAGCGTGTTTCTACAGAAGCTATGTGGACCATAGAAAGAATACAAACCTACGCGGTTATGGTAGATTAAAGGTTGCTCTTATCAGGCCCTCCGCCGCGCAACCATGTCGCTTACCGTGGAAGTTGGTTTGCTCAGTGGCAGGACAGCTACCGTGAAAGCCGACTTAGACGAAACAGTGGCAGTACTGAAACGTCGGGCGGAAATAGCGTTCGAAAAGGGAAAAGGGCGGCTAGTACACTCATCTGGAGGCGTTCTGGATGTAGATGCACCAATCAAGCGTGCCCGGGTACAGAATGGTGACTCGCTCCTCTTACATATAGGCCCAGTTCAAGTGCAAGCCACCTCCAGCGCTTTTGCTGCCGTTCTTGGCGATGGATCGTTCAGGACCTGGGGTGATCCCACCAAAGGTGGTGACAATAGTGCTGTGCAGAATCAGCTGAAGAATGTGCAGCAGATCCAAGCCGGTCGCTTTGCTTTTGCAGCCATTCTTGGTGATGGCTCGGTCGTGACCTGGGGTGATGCCGACTGTGGTGGTGACAGTAGTGCTGTGCAGCATCAGCTGACGAATGTGCAGCAGATCCAAGCCTCTGGGCGCGCATTTGCTGCCATTCTTGGTGATGGATCCGTCGTGACCTGGGTGGTGCTGACGATGGTGGCGACAGTACTGCTGTGAAGGATCAGCTGACGAATGTGCAGCACATCCAAGCCTCTAGCCGCGCGTTTGCTGCCATTCTTGGCGATGGAACCGTCGTGACATGGGGTGATGCCGACTGTGGTGGTGACAGTAGTGCTGTGCAGAATCAACTGACGAATGTGCAGCAGATCCAAGCCTCTGGGTGCGCGTTTGCTGCCATTCTTCGCGATGGATCCGTCGTGACCTGGGGTGATGCTGACGATGGCGGCGACAGTACTGCTGTGAAGGATCAGCTGACGAATGTGCAGCACATCCAAGCCGCTCTGGTTGGTTTTGCAGCCATTCGTGCCGATGGCCCTGTCGTGACCTGGGGTTGTGATGGTCTCGGTGGTGACAGTGGTGCGGTGCAACGTCAGCTGAAGAATGTGCAGCAGATCCACGCTTCGTACGGTGCGTTTGCTTCCATTCTTGGTGATGGATCGGTCGTGACCTGGGGTTCTGCTGCTTTCGGTGGTGACAGTAGTGCTGTGCAGGCTCAGCTGAAGAATGTGCGGCAGATCCAAGCCACTGGTGGCGCATTTGCTGCAATTCTGGGCGATGGATCCGCCGTTAGCTGGGGTTCTGCTGCTTTCGGTAGTGACAGCAGTGCTGTGCAGCTGAAGAATGTGCAGCAGATCCAAGCCAATTTCTGCGCCTTTGCTGCCATTCTTGGCGATGGATCCGTGGTGACATGGGGTGACGCCAAATATGGTGGTGACAGTAGTTCGGTGCAGGGTCGGCTGAAGAATGTGCAGCAGATCCAAGCCACTCGGAATGCTTTTGCTGCAATTCTGAGAGATGGATCTGTCGTCATCATCGGGGGGCTGGAAGAGGAATCTGAGGAAGAGGAGGTGCAACAGGCGCAGGAGGAGGAGGAGGAGGAAGATTCAGAGGAAAGAGCGGAAGACGAATATGCCAACCCCTGACTGGACGCAGCAGCCAAGAATTGCAAGTTGGGGGGTTTGGATTTACGGTTTGTACAATAGGGACTGCCATATACCTATACTTATACCTATACATATACATATGCACATGCACATGCACATGCATATACATATACATTTACATTTACATTTACATATACTGTATGTCTACGTATATACAGATATATATCCTGGTTCGATGCTTTTCGGTATCTTCAACAAGTTTGCCGATAGCTGCACAACAGGAGGGCTGCGCTTGCAACACGGTATGTTACTTAGGACGCAATCGGCGATTGGTGATCACAGCCCCCCAAGCCAAAAAAGATGGTTGGACCATAAACGTGAGCAACACTTTCACCGCACGGCAAACCACCCGAAGTGGGGCTCTTTGCATCATCACGACTGAGAAGCTTGTGTGCATGCGAGAAGCATCACAAGTTTGCATGTTCAGGACCTCTGTACAGCAGCGCGAAGCAGCAACGCAACTCCCACTGTGAATCCGGGGGTTGCAGCCAGTCCAACAGAGCATCCAGCAGCTTTGGTACATCGGTGTTACCGTCACACCGTCGATTGCAACTCGCCAGCTGCAGGTTGTTGCACGTGTTCTCACGGTTTTGCAAGCTTGCAAATGAAAATTGTGGGGATTGAATGCACCAATGTAGTCCGAAATACTTTGCTTTGTAGCATCGACAGCCTCCCGAGTCCTTTCCCAACCCGAAACGTTGCCTCAACTCCAAACCTGATCGCCGCGCAGCTTCCCAAAGATTA